TCTGCTGATATTGTTTTTTTAGATTAACAGTAAATTAATTCCTGGTTTGTAAATATTATTTTATTAAATATTTATGCAATAATAATAATATCTATCAAATTATATATATTAGAAATAAATAATCAAACTTTTTTTGATGAATTAATAGATAGGTTTAAGTTAATTCAAAGTTAAATTGTAATAAAAAGTATAAAATAATAAATTGAATAAATATATTTTAAAAACTTTTTATATTAAAAGTAACCAATTATTGCTTGCTTTATACATGTTATTTAATAATATATATTATAAAATACATTTTTTATAATAACTTAGTCAATATTAATGTTGGGAATATAATTTCACTGCCATTAAATTCCTTGCATCGAGACAAATCCAATGATATAAATTTCATTAAAATCTGATCGGTAAATCTCTTAAAAATTGGGGTATGTAGGATAAGGATTTAAACTAAATTCTAACCTGAATTAACATTAGACTTCGAAAACTAAAATATTACGGCCGGAATTATGTGATCGGCATAGAAATTTCCTTTTTTGAAATACTTGTGAAACCAAATCCGCCCATTTTTTGCGGGAGGCAAAATTTCTTTTTTTGGAAGTTTGTGTAACGTCACGTGATAATTGGCCAATGGGAGAAATGTTGCGCAAGTATTTGGGATTTGGGATGGGATGGGATTTGGGGGATGGGATGGGATATGGGAGGGGATGGAAGGAGATGGGAGGGGATGGGAGGGGATTTTAAATGGGCAGCAAGTATAACCATATGTATTAAGACAATAGGTAGGTTTGCGAGCAACAGTTTGTAAGACGATATCAGTCATGAAATAACTTATCCATTTAGCAAAATCAATTTGATAATCTTTTCTATCCCAATAACTTTCATTCTCATTAAATAATGATTGTACAAGTTGGGTGAAAATCTGGGAGAATTTATTGACTGCATAACAATTTTCCTATTTCGTTTCCATGTTGTAAGATTGCCATTAAATGCTAATCCATCAACATTAGCATGTTTGACTGTACCTCTTGAAAAAAAATTTAGTTTTTGAGTTTGTAGCATAAACCTGATCAATTAACGAAGGATAACAAAGAATAACGGATCTACCCAAATTTCAAACATATCACCATATTTTTTATGATTATCCTTTACATATTGTGCTGGATTTAATCCTATTTGATGTAAATTACCAATTAATGGAAGTGGAAATGGACCAGGAAGCTGTGATTGACATGTAAAATATTTGTAATAATATCTTGATACATATAATAGAATTATTATATTAATAGTCGTTATCAAATTTATCTCTGAAACTATTGACGTGAATGTCATTGTTATTAGTAGTCAAGAAAATTTTTCTTTCTTTCTTTTTTTTTGTAAACAAAAAATGTTCAAATTTGTAATTTTAGGATATATTTATATACTTTATTTCTTTTTGAAAAAAATGGCAAAAGATTATTAAAAATCCTACTATAATATTATTACATAATAATTTGGCTTTTTATGTATTAAGTTTATAATTTGCAGGAAAATTCGATAGTTAGCTGCTATTAACTGTTAAGTTGCATTTATTGGCGACTTAATTAAGGAAAATTAGAACTTAAAAATAATTAACGTGATTTATGGGCCGCATAAGTTATTAAGTTATAGCAAATTTAATTCGTTGATCCGTTGATCCTGAGCAGGAAAAATTACTAATGATCAACATATTTCCGAAACAATAAATTTTAACGAATTTTAAATAACTTTAATAAAATTTAACGAATTTAATAGATTTTAAGTGACGTTCTTTGACGTAAAATATAATTATTCTTTTAAAAAGTAACTGATTATTGTAAGATTCAAAATATATCAGGAAAAAAAATATTTTTTTTTTCTTTTGACCAGATTCAAAAATGAGTGATTGATAAATTTCCATTTAATTGGTCACGTAATATAATTGATTGGATGTTCCCTCAAAATAATATATATATATATTTTTTCGGTACACATTATTTTGTATGTATTTTTTTATGTATTAGAAGAAGTATGGCTTATTGTAAATAATCAGCCAGCATAAGAAATAATTTTTCTTGTACAAAATATTATTCTACTTATATCAATTTGAGTTTAGGGAAATAGCTTAATCGATATCACATGATTCTGTAAGTCAATTTTAATTTCCGAGGGTGCAGCAGGGGTTTTTGCCAAATTTCATAAATCCGCTGCAATATACCACATTTATCACAAACAATAATATAATCCATTATATTGAATATATTTCATACAATTGAAATTCTTTATAATGTACAATAATCTATTAATAAAAGAATAAAAATTATAGAAAATATTTAAAATTAAATTTTTAGAAAACTTACATAATTTGTTCAGAAAATTGATTAGTAATATTTTGTGAAGTAATTAGAACATTAGATATAAAAATAAAACAAGTAATTTATTTCTCTAACATCGTCAAAAAACAGATTGTAAAAAATTTCATAATTTTTACAGTAAAATATTAGGAATAACCTTCATTTCAATGATAGAAAATTAGTGTTTACACATTTGATATTATTAATATTAATCTTCTTCCTCAATTCATTATTTATAATTAAATTGAGCTATGCAGTAAGCCATCGCTCACCACTGAAAATCATTTCAATTGTTCTTGTAACTAATAATTACATACATTATTCTTAATATAGTTATAAAGATGGTCAATCCTATTACTGATGTCTAATGTCTTAACAATAATTTATTTGAAATTTAATAATATATGTCTATGAACTAAGTTTCCACATGTGATTTATTCTGTATAGGGATGGCAATGGTCATGGTCAGATCATGACTGGTTAATAACTGTGACTGATATTGGTTGGTCAATGGCTTCTGAGTTCTGACCAACCATTTAACTGACCATTTTGACTAACTGTTTGACTGACTGTTTAACTAACCATTGTTAACCAATTTGGTACATTGATAGATTAACTATGATTTGCAGTCAGGGAGATTAGGTATGTTTAACTATAACTGAAATCCAATCAAACAAAACATGCTTAAAATAGGGAGTTCATTTATTGTGTAAAAGGTTATGTTTTATTATAGAACTTTATTGAACTTATAAGAACTAATTTGAGCTAACTTATAATGAAGGAAAATACCAATGTTATTTATATAAAGTTACTACATATAAAGAAATAATAAATATAATAGATATAACAAATATAAGAAATATAACTAATATAATAATAAATATAATAAATTATCAAATAAAATAAATATAATGTTTATATTAAATATAATTAATATAATAAAAAATAATATAAATAATAAAATAATAAGATAAATAAAATAATAAAATAATAAAATAATAAAATAATAAATTTTAATGTCTATGTTCTTGCGACCCTAAGAACATGACTACTTCTACTTCTTAATCATTCTTGAGAACATCATCTCCTTTCTCTTCTTGGTGATCTGGACCTGTAGTGATATTCATACCGGTGGTGGACATTAATCACATTTTGTTCCCTGTATTCTCGCCTATATATATCTTAAATCCAATAAATGATGTTAATTAATTAATTTAAAACAAATTTAATGAATTTGATAAATAATTACCTGTTACCAGCTAAAATTCATCATCATCTCATTAAAGCATACTTTATCAAAGCTATTTGGGCTTTCAATAGGGAAATTATCCATTTAATATTCTTAAGAGGTTTTCATAACCTCTCTTTAAAGCATTCCATTTTGTATGACACTGATTGGATATAGTCACGAAACTGGTCATAATAAACAACCAATTTGCTGTAAGAGCCCATACATCATTGTAGTTGTGGATTGCTAATCTCTCAAATTGCCAGTAGAGGTTACACCTTTCTCTGATCAATTGGATAGCGACATTTACCATCCATTGAAATACTGGTGCTGGTAGTTGATGGTAAGGTACTACTACTAATGCTGCTGCCATTTTAAAAAACTTTTATAAATATTTAATATGTTTGGAAAATTGAAATTTAATTTGATTTTATCTTAAAAAAAGTCAAAAACATCACATATTTATATTTTCAAAATATTAAATTTATTATTACTGTATTTTATGATTGAATATTAACAGTACTACAATTAAATTATTTTACACATTTTTAAAAATAAT